AAAAAGGTTTACATGGCAAGGTGATACAAAAAGAGGTTTTTGAGTATTACCATGATCGGTATTTTGAAAATGGCCTGAAACGATCTTTTGAAAACTTGATTTGATTTTTTTTTTAAAAAAATGGTTTTATTGAACCGGAGATTTGAGAGTAGGCCGATTATCACTTTGGTTAATTGTGACCCTTGTGCACAAGTGAGCTTTAGCTAGAGAACTTTTGGGTAGCTGAAGGGCTGTTAGAAATGGCTGGGGCCAAGGTTTGTGATTTTACGTGGCTAGGTCACAAATGATTATATACGGTTGCGACCGCTTGATTTTTCTCCGATGTCGTCAACATCGTTGAGATAGCCATGGCATGTGGGGATCCGGTGGAGCGGAGCTCCCGGATGCTATGACGTAGAAACAGGTCCACGTGTTGTTATTTTGTACCTACTCGAAAGTGATATCTATTTGGGTTTTTCATCTAAGTAATTTTTGCATGATAAAAAATAATAGTTTTTCTACTGCTCCCTTGCTTGTATGATGAAATTCGATTTAATTCTCTATGTATGAGATGAATTATGAAATTGCACGTAAGCTTTATAAATGTTGGATTTTACAGGAGCATGTATGATGACATTTAATTACTTTAAACCCGATGTTAAGTGATTTTGATGGTAGGAATCTTTCCATGACTTGGGTTGATATTTGATTTAAATGATTATTTAGCATAAATTTATTTATTTGCATATAAGGCACAAATCTTCCTTTTGACTAAATTTTTTGTATATACTCTTATGTTTCTAAATCTTCAAATCTTCTACCTTTAGCTTGTTTTCAGTCTACACCCTATTCACGCGGTCGATGATCACTGAGTCTGTGAGACTCACCCCACTTTATTTTCTTTTCCAGATAAGTAATCAATTTTAAGATTTTGTTCAACATCATGAAGTTGGCTACAATCTAGGTAATGGCATCTCTAGACTTCCACTTAGAGTTGCTCCACTGCCTAGAGGTCGGTTTATGTATCATATAGTGTAGTTTGTAAGAATCAATAGTCACTGAAAATGTGATGACTAAAGTTTAAGGTCATGTAATAATGTTTATATATTATAATGAGTTGTATAAAGTGATCAAATCTAGATGTTTGTAACAAATGGTTATGTTTTAATTAATGTGATTATTTGGTTTGAATGATTTATAGTGTTAATGTTTGATGTTGATTTAGAGATTTAATTGTTTGGGATTTGGCGAGTCCACACGCAAGTCTCAAATGCCGGTAGCATTCGAGGGAAGAGGTCGTTACAATAACCTCTCTCAACTCATTCTCTCCTCGTTCTCTCTCATCTGAAATCGATCTCTTAAAATCGAAACCTCTTCTCTTTAAACTCTCAAAACCTTAAATTTGAAATGAACAAAATCAATGGCTAAATCCTATCTACTTCAAGATATCTTGGAGACGAATAAGGGTAAATGGCACATGAAAGAAAGTCCATCGTCTAAAATTCAAAAATAGAAGAAAAAACATGAGTCTGCTTTGGTGACTAAGAAAATTGAGAAGAAATAGAAAAAAAAAGAATAGAAATTAAAGAAAAAGAAAGAAAAGGGAAATTTCTCTACAAAAGGCAACCCTCTATCCTCGAAATTCAAAAATAAGGTTAATGAGGATAGATTTGGAAAATTGAAAATGCTCCTATCTCTTGTAGAAAATACATTGACTGGGATAGCTTTAATGAAATTTTAGAAATTAAGAAGCGTTTATTGGATTATTTTGAAAAAATAAAATTGAAGAAATTGAGTGTGTTTAATAAGAGAACCTATAGTGCTAGCCTTGTAAAGGAATTCTATGCTCGTATTGCACTAGATGAGAATGAACTTGATGACCCTCAAGATTTTGCGGAAGATAGTCTGAATGTTTTTCTAAATGGAAAAGAATTTGTGCTCACAACTACTGATATTGGAAATCTGCTCCATATAGAGTGCAATGAGGGAGAGTATGAGATTCTTGAGGATTATGATCCCTCATCTCTATGGGAAATAATCACAGGGAAAAAGGACAGATACTCTTCTAGAAGCTATGCAAGCCTTATTAAAAGTCCACAAATTAGGATCCTGCACTATTTTGTAGCTGCATCTATCAATGGAAGAAATGGTAGCTTTAGCTATGTAAGCCTTCAAGATATGTGGCTTATGGAGCATGCTTTTAATGGCACTCCTCTCAAATTAGGAAGATTCATGATAGAAAGAATGAAAGGAATTTGTTGG